AAAAAAAAAAAAAAAAAAAAAAAAAAAAAAAACTGAAAAAAAAAAAGAATAACAGTAGATCTACCATACCACTGCTGGATATATATCCAAAAGGAAGAAAACTAGTATATCAAAGAGATTACATTTATTATAGCAGTATTCACAAGGGCCACGATATGGAATAAACCTAAGTGTACAACAACAGATGAATGGATAAAGGAAACATGGTATATATACATAGTGGAATAATATTCAGCCATAAAAAAGAATGAAATCCTGTCATTTGCAGCAACATGGATGGAACTGGAAGTCATTATGTTAAATGAAATAAGCCAGGCACAGGATAAATATCACATTTTCATGCATATGTGGGAGCAAAAAACGTTCATCTAATGGAAGTAGAGAGTAGAATGATGGTTCCAAGAAGCTGGGAAGGGCTACTGGGGAGGGGGAATAAATACATTTAGAAGGATAAGTTCTAGTGTTTGATAGCACAGTAGGTGATTACAGTTAACAATAATTTATTGTATATTTCAGAAAAGCTAGATTTGAAATGTTCCCAACACAAAAAATGACAAACGTTTGAGGTGATGGATATTCTAGTTACCCTGATTTGACTGTTACACACTGTATACATGTATTGAAATATCACTTGTACCTCATAAAAATGTAGTTATGTATTAATAAAAAGTCTTTAATATCAAATATCTAGTCATTGTTCAAATTTACAATTGTTAAATGTAAAAAAGTTTGTTTTTCTGCTATTTTTACCATCAGTTTGCTTAACTCAAGTAGGAATTAAGGTCAAATAATTATATATTACCATTAGTCTGCATATTGCTAGCGTCGATTTTATTCTAGTTTCTTTTTCTACTTGCAATTTATTTGTTGAAAAAACTGGATCATTTGTCCCATAAAGTTTCCATCAGTCTGACTGCATCCCAGTGGTGACACCTGACACATTTCTTTTGTCCTCTGTGTTTTCCTACAAATCAGTAGTTGAATCTAGAGGCTTATCAGATTCAGGCTTGTTTGGCAAGAATACTTCAGACACTACTACCCCGAGGGGTAGCACTCACGGGGCACATCTGTTTGTCTCTCCTTTTGTTATGTTAGACGATGTTGATTGTCAATGCCCAGATTTGTTAATAATTAGAAGTGGTAAAATTGTGATATTCTAATTCTAGCATTACTTCCTCACTCATTACTTAGAGTACTTCTTTTTTTTTTTTTTTGAGACGGAGTCTTGCTCTGTTGCCCAGACTGGAGTACAATGGCATGATCTCAGCTCACTGCAACCTCTACCTCCTGGGTTCAAGAAATTCTCTGCCTCAGCCACCCAAGTAGCTAAGATTACAGGTGCCCGCCACCACGCCCGGCTAATTCTTTTATGTAGTTTTTGTAGAGATGGGGTTTCACCATGTTGGCCAGGCTAGTCTTGAACTCCTGACCTTGTGATCCGCCCACCTCGGCCTCCCAAAGTGTTGGCATTACAGACATGAGCCACCGCGCCCGGCCTAGAGTACTTCCATAAAGGAAACTTTCCCTTATCAACTGTTGGTGAACCACAGGCATAGTCTGTATTAGAAAAGCAGGATAAATATTTGATTCAATCCCTTTGTTTAACAATTTTAAAAACAATAAGTTGTTGTTTTTTTTTTTT